AGTGATGTCAGGCAGTTGAAAATACTCCTGGCAAAAACGTCAGAGTTTGAGGGAAACCAAGATAACAGAAGGGGACCCGGGAGAAGCCGTCGGAAACGCTACAGTCTAACCCTGATTTCTCTCATTCCAACCCACCAGCAAGCGGTTTTATTCCACTTCATTTGTACTCTGGGAAAATAGTGAAAGCAAATATTTTATTACATGCTGTCTAGGCTTCATCTGGATCATCCCATATGGCTCTCACAATGATCCTGTCCTCATATCAAAATTAGGCGCTATTAAAAAGTCTCCTTGTCTAAAAACATAAACTCACAGAGGAAAGAAGGCAAATACCATTAATCTACACTTCAATGATGTGCCTGGTATATTTCAGTCGTCACAGTCAGTGCTTTACATGTGTGAACTCCAGTCCTTGGAAGAAACATGCAAAAGGCTTTCTTTTGTACTAGTATGGAAATCGAAGCTTAGACAAGGTAAGATAAGATAGACTGACAGCTATCCCAGAAATAAGATCAGTCTTATATTAATTTTTACTCCAAAAGACACAGTAGGGCTTACTTTCAGGGGGCGTCTTATTTTTTTCATGTGCAAAAACCTACATTTAAACCAGGCATGGTGGTGCATGCCTGTAATTCCAGCACTCAAGAGGCTGAGGCAGGAGGATCACCATGAGCTTGAGCACAGCTTGGGCTACAAAGTGAGTTCAAGGCCAGCCCGAACTGCAGAGTGAAACCCTGTCTCAAAAAGAAAAAAAACTACATTTACTCACTTATTTTATGGTCATAACTCTCCAGACCCCAAATCCTACCCTGACTTTTGTGACTCCACTCCCTGCAGACCCACTGGCCCCAGTCTCTCATGTCCAGCAACCAAGCTCTCTTTCCCTGAGCACTTCTTGTCCATGCGGCCTGCTCAGAATGCATGGTCACAGTACACGACGCTGAATTGAGAAGATTCACGTCAGACACAAAAGTGCCCGCTCCAGGATCGAGTGCGCACGGCATTCACGCGCTGGGCAGCGCTCCGACTCATGATCTGGCCTAAGTTTCAAGTTCACCTGTTTACACAGGTGTCAATTTATCCCCCATCCGAAGGCGCCCGCTGGGACATTTACAAATATTTAATCACATATTATCGCTTAAGCGTTAATGTCACTAACATTATTTACATTTAATTATATGTTAAAATTATTATTTTAGAATTCAGTACGTTACTTGTGTGTTGCAATGAATGTAGCAAACATAATGGCTGATGATCTTTTTTTTTTTTTTGTCTTTTTGAGACAGGGTCTCACTGTGCAGGCCAGGCAGGCCTTGAGCTCACTTTGTAGCCCAGGCTGGCTTTGAACTCACAACGATCTTCCTGCCTCAGCCTGCCAAGTGCTGGGATCACAGGTGTGCACCACCACGCCTGGCTAGGTGGCTGATGATCTTAACTGGGATTTACTTTGGGGGTGCAGCTTGTGTTATGAGCATCTTGAAAAATCACGCCAGGGTGTATTTTCCAGGTATGTCTTATTTTCAAGGAAATACAGCAGTCTTATTTACAGGGAAATACAATTATTAAGGACTATGAACTATCAGACGCCATGACGGGCAGGGGGGGGGTGGATTTGTCCCAATGATCCAGGGAACTGTGGAGAGTTTCTTGTCTTCAATATATAAAATGAGGCACTGACTCAGACCCTCGCCAAAGTCACAGCACGCCGATGGTGAAAAGCACAGGGGGGCCGGGTTTCTGAGGCCTAACCTCCAGCCCCGTCCACAGCCTCAGACCGTGCACTTAGGGTGGGCGGTGGGTGAGTAAGGCCTGCAGAAGAGAGAGAGTTCAGATAAGCGAGACTTGAATAAGAACAAGAACCAGCGGTAGAAAGAAAAACTAGAGGGCCGGGGATGTAGCTCAGCGGCACAAGCGCCTGCCTGGTAAGTACAAGGTCCTGAGTTCGATTCCCGGTACCAAAAAGACAAAGGAAAAGTGGAAGACTTTGGCGACAGTGAGGGATAACTTTACTAGAAACGAGGCGGAACGTCAGGAAGCCTTTGCAGAAATCCGACGCGGTTCCCCCGACCCCTTGCGCGAAGACGCCCTTCCCGGGCCCCGCCTGCACCTGCTCCTCCCAGGCTCACCCCGCTCTGACGGGCTCAGCGCCTCCGCGCCTTGACCGTGAACCGAAGGTGACAGTTCGGTCCCCTCCACTCCACACCGCGAGCTTTGGTAGCTGTTTTGGGGGACAACGAATGAGCTCAGCTGGTCCCAAGCGGAATCCATGCCCTCCTCTCCGAGCCACACCCTTGCCCTGACTCGGACCTGACAGCGGACACCCGAGACCGGACTCCCGGGGTCTGACTCCAAGCGTTCTTCGCACCCCCGCTTCCACGCAGGCCCCGCAGGCCGCTCTGCCCGCCGCGCTCCTCCGCCGCGCAGCGCTTCCCGCCCATCTGCCTGCTGCTTCCCGTGTCCACGCCGCGTCCAAGCACAAAGCCCACCTCCCCGGCGAGGGACTCAGCCTGCAGCTGGCCTGTGTCTGCGTCTCCGCTGCGGTCACACTCCGCCGCTAGCTCGTTTCCAGGAGCACAGTTCTCCCCAGGCTGCCCTCCCCGCGAAAGCATCCAAGAGCTTCCCAGGAAGCTGGAACCTTTAGCCAGGCGTCATGGGGCACACCTGTAATCCCACCACTCGGGAGGCTGAGGCAGGAGGATTGTCATGAGTTCAAGGCTAGCCTGGGCTACATGGTGAATAAATTCAAGGTCAGCCTGACCTACACAGTGAGACCCTGTTTCAAAAAAAAAAAACAAACCACTGGAACCTCTATGCAGAATGTAAAATACTGGTAAAATTCACTAAGTAGGATATGAAGAAATGGACTCACATACAGTGAAGGGGATAAACGGTCATAACATCTTTGGAGGACATCTGACAGTATTTTAGTAAGCTATGTTTAACCTCTGCCAGGAATTTCACTTCTTAAAATTTATCCTACGGAAAAACCCACAGAATTATGCAAGAATTATTTGTAACAGGATTCTTTTTATGCTCTGTTTAAACTACAGAATGCTGTGTACCCATTAAAAAGAATGAACCGGCATAGACAAGGACAAGGACAACAGCTCACAATGATTAAGTGCTTTCTAGGAACGAGGCTCATTTTTAAGTGTTTTGCAAGTATTAATTTCACAAAAACCCTAAGACATGCATCTGTGTATCTTTAAGCAGAAGCATGTTTGTGCCACACTAAGACATGAAAAGAAGCCAATTGCCGAATGCTATGAAGTATACCAAAACGCACCAACAGGAAAAGAAAAAAAGGAAATAAAAGCTCCTACGCCATGCCACTAACCATTCTCAGCAGTGGTGACCCCTTAGAAGTCTTCAGTAGGGGAAGTGGATTGGACTTCCTCTCTTCAATCCCTTTTAAATTATATGACATATAGTTTAAAGAATGTAGTACTTTATGACTTTAAAACGTTACAAAGTACACATTACACAAAGACTACGTACTTTTTTTCTTTTTCCCATTTTCAAACATTCTATGTTACTTTTACTGTTTTTGTTGTTTGAGTTTTAATAAACAAAACCTCTACCCCGCTTGCCAGATTCAATTAAAATGCACACCTGGCACACGCCTATAATCCCAACACTTGGGAGGCTGAGGCAGGAGGATCGCTGCTAGTTCAAGACCAGCCTGGGCTACAAAGTGAGCTCAAGGCCAGCCTGAACTGCATGGCAAGACACTGTCTCAAAAAGACAAAAAATAAAATAAAATAAAATGCTACCCCCTACTGTGTCCTGTGCAGAGCAAGCTGTCTGGACCTGGAAATCTCAGAGACCTCCGTTCCTGTACTCTGGAAGATACCACCTTGGCGACCTTGGAGAGATGACCTACCCTCACTCTGCCCTCTCACCTGTTAGAGATAGTTCCACCAACAGCAAGAGCCTCCCTGAGGATTAAATAGAGTAACATTTACCAAACATCAGCTCAGTGCCGCCGTAAATAAGGTCTCCTTAAAACCGCCTGCCTCCCTTGCAGTATGAATAATTCCGCACCCCCCTTGGGAACTGCGCCGGCCGGGAACGGGCTCAGCGGACAGCACCTGCCCGGCAGGTGTGAGTCATGAGTTCAATTCCCCGAACCAAAAGAAAAGAAACTTGGAAGCTGCTCTCTTCTTGGAAACTCAGGAAGCTTTAACATTAGCTAATAAAAAATCTTTCCGCCCCAAGTGGTGCTTTGTCTTATGGCAAACTTCGGGGGGCTGCGAAGGCCACCTACTCACAAACACCGGCACGTCTGACGGTACCGGAGAACGGTCCTCCGACAGTCCTCTCCTCATTGAAGCGCGAAAGACCTGACCGCAGGGGAACGGAGAGGGGTGGGACAGGAGTGCGCGCTCCGGCTTACTGTCCAATTACGGCCCCCCGAGAATGAGACCTCGCTTCACAGCTCCTGGCCTTATTGTCAGCAACCAGCAGACCAAACTCACATCTTTCCTCCGCACTAACCCAGTACAGTACCAGACTCCTATTTTTTTTTTAATTCAGACAAAAAAATAAATAAATAAATAAACAGCTAAACCTGGAAATATTCCAAATAACACTTGTCTAGCTGAAAATTCCCCTTTGACCTTCGCATAAAAAAATTTACAAGTAAGGCCCTCGGAAGCCTTCACGTGAGTAATGCCCTCTAGTACGAGGTTTGACATAAACAGGAATTCTCACAATTAAAGTCTTAGGGGCAAAAAGGATAACTTGGTGCATGAATACGGTCCGTGCTTCTGAGGGGCCCGGAGAAGTCTCTACCTCCATCTGCGCTTTTCTGGGGCTCCGCTGGGCAGCCGGTCGGGGACCACACTGTCACCCAACTCGTCAGCGAGCCCCGGAGCCCGGTGCGGCCAGCCCCACCCGCCTGGCCCGCACCGCCACCTGCTCCAGCCGCGGCCTCGCGGGCTTCGGCTTTTGAACACTTCGCTGAGCCTGACCCAGAGAAAACAGAAGAGGTCACGTACCTCGAGAGGCGACGGCCCTGTGCCCAACTTCCGGCTTGGCTCGCGCTTCTATCTGGTTTCACCAGCTGGGTGGAGCCAGTGCACCCTCCCAGGGGGAGCCTTTGCCCCGGCTGGGCTGCGGAACTGGATTTTCAAGCCCTGCCCAGCGCTGCACTGGCTTCAGGACTCTGCTTCTGAAAATTAACTAAATGTCTAAGGTAACTAAAATTAACTAAATTAACTAAAATTAATTTTTAACAAGTAAAATTAATTAAACTTGGGCTGTTTTACAAGCTTTTTTGCTGACCATTCATCACTTTACTGAAAATATTACATTTTTTGTCTTTCACTCCAAAACTCTTTAAAAATACATACCTTTCACTGAAACCTGAGCAAATTAATAGAATGCCCATTTAAACTGGAACTGAATTTTATAGCATCACTATTGAAACATACATACACTGGGGCTGGGGATTTAGCTCAGCAGCAAAAGTGCCTGCCTGGCAAGCGCAAGGTCGTGAATTTGGTTCCCGGTACCGGAGAAAAACCAAAAAAAAAAAAAAAGAAACATACATATACTTCTAAAAAGGTTAGATAGGTTTTTTTTTTTCTCGAAAGTGCAAATTTACCCTAGAAATTTTCATCAGTCACTATCTCAGCTAGCAACGCTATCTCTACAAACTGATTCAGTTAATTACAAACGTTTACAAGGTCAGATTTCATGAATGATATCATGTAAAAGAGCTCGGTCTTTCTTTTTTTTTTTTTTTTTTTTTAATATACCCTGAAATATATGACTTTTTTTGAGACAGGATCTGGCTTTGTAGTTCTGGCCTTGAACTGGCCTGAATTCACTATATAGTCCAAGCTGGCCTTTAACTCATGGTGATTCTCCTGCCTCAGCCTCCCTGGTGCAAGGGTTACAGGTGTGTGCCACCACATCCGACATTTTGTTTTTTTGAAAGCTTGAATCTTTAAGGTCTACAACATTCTTTTGCAAAAGGGAAACTTCAGGGTTAGAATACAATGTATCTAAAAATATTACACACTCCACCTTCAGCCTGTGACTAACGTGCAGATGGAAACAGTATGACACATACCCCAATCACTAACACTAGTAAATTTCCTAAATCCATTTTGTAAGGAGAGAAAAAAGGAGAAGGAACGTTCGCCATAAATTTTTCTCCGTAAGAACTTGCCACAGTTAACAAAAGCCCCTCTCAGTAGGGGCTGAGTAAAGATAACGTAGAGCTGGCTTTCGATTCCGCAGCTGCCTGGGACAGCGACAGTTGTAAAGGAAGTCAGACGACCTTCAGTCCTCATCAGAGTCTCAGGTAGTCACCAGCTCTCTGCAGCTGCAATTAGACCCTCTCGGAGAGTAGTCCTTGTCACTTTGCATGCCAAGAATATAATAAAACGTCTATAAAACACGTGATTCTTAGGGTACTTTATCGTACTGTTGCCTCCTAAGACCCTCTCAGGAAGCAGTCAAAGTCACGGGAGGGGCTGCCTGGCCGCCAGTTCTCCGCAAAGCCTGGCCTTCCCGGCCGGCACTTCCTCCAGTCCCAGCTGTAACTGCTCTTATCTCTCTGTCCCAGAAGTTCACTTCTACCCTGCTCCGTTTTCGTCAGCTGCTTCTCAGCTGTGAAAAAAGGAAACCAAGTTTATTAAAACGCTCACGAGAGCTTGGACTCCAAGAACTCAAACTCGTAGCTGTCTGACCAGGTCTTGTTCATGTGCCTCCAAACCAGCAGTTCTCAAGCCTGTTGGTCTCAGGGGCCCCAAGAATCCCAAAGAAACGCCGGTGTCCTGGGTGCTAGTTATGAATATTTTTATTAAAAATTAAAGCAGAGGTGTTTTTTCATACATTAATGTCTAAAGGGTGACAGGTTCATTACATGTGAATATAATAACTTTTTACTATTATTTTACCTTAATGACTTTTTTAAAACTATAAATTTACTGAAGAGTATTTTTTTGCCTTTTGAAGAAAGAAAAATGTAGCCCAGGCTGTCCTTGAACTCACAGTGATCCCCTGGGACCACAGGTGTGGGTCACTGTGCCCTGATTTTTTTTTTTTCTTCTGGTACCAGGAATCGAACTTACGACCTTGCGCTTGCCAGGCAGGCACTTTGCCCCTGAGCTAAGTCCCCGGCCCCCTTGATTTTTTTTTTTAAAGAGTGAAGAGTATCAATTGTCAAAGGACAAAGTACTCCAACAGTTTAGTTTAAAGATTCTATTTGGATTTGTTCTCAATTTTAGAATCAGGCAACACTTCATTCCATAAAATAGAGTAAGTGTTCCACTGTCAGAGCAAAAGAGGTTGATTGTATAAACAAAGAAGTGTTTAAAAAGCATAAAGTAAAAGAAAATGCAGACGGGTCACTCTGAAGTTACTTTCTTTGTACAGCCCAGATAGGGAGACAGAAAAATAGGAAAATAAATGGTTGGTTGGCAGACCATTCCGGGTTGTCTTTTCTGTGCCCTGGAGAAAGCAGAGAGACTTCAGTATCGTACCCACGAGGGCCGGCCTGTTCCGGAGACGGGGCCGTTCTCTCTAACCTTCGTTCCTCTGAGCGTCAGGTACGCAGCTGAGCTCAGCGTGGCGATATGCAGCCGCTCAAATGAGTGGCTCCATTTTTATTTTTAGCCTGGTCTGTGCGGGAGCTGAGTCCAAAACAATGAACATTGCACCCTGGTAATTTTTAGTTAACAGTACTGTTGGTTACATTTTTGCAAACGTCGTCAAAGGCAGCTGGATTCTCTTACGTTCTTCTGCACTCAGTGTGTAGCGATATTGAATAACACTTTAGACAGCCTCTGGAAAATCCCACCATATACTCATGAGAGAAGAGAATAAATAGGGCAAATAAAATATAACAAGTGCAATCGTTTTTATCTGTTGAGAACCCATTTGACTTAATCCGAGTTGAGCAGCCCTCTGTCTCCAAGGGAAAGATATGATCTAGACAGTCCATACCAGCAGGGAATGCTAAGGGTGTGCATGTTTAGGATCCTACCCAAGACCAGGAAGAGAGACGCAGCAGGCAGAACTCTAAGCCAGAACCATTCACTCACCTGAGATCCACTGTCAAGTCTGAATGATTCTGCTGGATCAAACTTAGAATCTCCACTGTCCTCTTATACTCAGCATTTCATAAATAATTACATTCCAGCAGAGTGACGCCAATCAATTAGGCCTCACCCCACACCCGGAAATCGAAAACACCTCCTCTAAAATGGACCCATCCCACTGGATCCTAACTGTGCCAACCTCAACCAGTCAGAGCCCATCCTCCCCATCCACCGCTACCATTCCGGTGTGTATCTCCACTACTTCTCAGCTAGACTGTAGTCATCACCCACCGAGCTCCTCCAGCTTCTCTTCGACTTCATCATCCCACATACTACGCTAATCCTTTCTGTTTTTTGGTACCGGGAATCAAACTCAGGACCTCACACTTGCTAGGCAGGTGCTGTGCCACTGAGCTATATCTCCAGCCCTAATTTTTCTCAAGTATAACTCACATCATATTCAGTGGTACCTCGGTTGACAAACTTGCTCCACAACTTTGAAAAAGATGGCCACGATTGCGTTTGTACAGGAAAAACGGCCGCGGTCGTGTTGGTTGCCTGATATAGCGTTTGCAAACAAAAACAAAGTTTACCAAATGCTTTTTCTTGTTGTTATTGTCGTTTTGTCTTTTTGAGACAGGGTCTCACTGTGCAGATCCAGCTGGGCTTGAGCTCACTTTGTAAATGTCCGGATCCCGTAGACAGATGGTTCCGTGGCTTATATCTGCAAGTCCCCTAAGGCATGTGCACTCAAAAGGGGCTTTGCAGAGGTGATTGATCGTGGGCGTGTGATACCAGATTAGTCCGCTGGTTGGTTTAACATAGTTCTAAGCGTGAGTAATGGACTTACTGAAGAGGGAAGATTCACACTTCAACAGGATGTGGTGTTGCACACCAATAATCCCAGCACCTTGGAGGCTGAGACAGGAGGATTGTTGCAAGTTAGAGACCAGCCTGGGCTGCAAAGTGAGCTCAAGGCCAGCCTGAACTGCGTAGTGAGACCATCTCAAAAAGACCAAAAAAAAAAAGTATTTGGCATGCCAAGCATAGTGGTGCACCCCGTAACTCCAGTGCTCAGGAGGCTGAGGCAGGAGAATCACCTCAAGTTGGAGGCCAGCTTGGGTTATATAGTGAAACCTTTTTTTTTTTTTTTTTTTTTGTCTTTTTGAGACAGGGTCTCACTCCTGTCCTCACACTCCTTTTTCCCTGTGGGACTCTTTCTTCATAAAAGGACAAGACATTTCCCTATGAAACACTGACCTTGTTGGAGTCATCCGAAAGATCTCACCTTAGGGCCAGGGACCAGGAGGACCCAGCATCAAGGACAGTGTTCGAAAGCTCCATCTTCAGAGCTTCACCAGGTGGAGCAGCACCCGAGATGGAGCACGGGGCGGGGGCGGGGGCTTGCAGAGCGTGAGGAGAGGAGAGCAGAGAACATCCACCTGGGCTGGGTCTGTGCGGCAGGAAGTTAGCCCGCTGGGGAGGAACGTCTTCCGCCGTCCTCCGGGCTCCGTGAGTGCGGCTCGGCACCGGCTGGCATCAGGGTTGCTTTCTCTGTAACAGCGCCGTCCGCAGCACTCTCGGGTACTGCAGGGCACTCATGGGGCTACACACTTTTTGTCCCACAGGTCAGAGCTATCAGAGCACCCATTCGCTCCTTTGTGGCAGCAAAGCCATCCACACCCTTGCGTTCCTGGCTTGGAGTTTTACAAGTACTGCCCGTCGCATGGCCCAGGAGCGGATGGGTCATTTGCACCATCTGCTGCCCTCTGCCGCCGGCTTCTGGCTCCGAGACGCTACGTGACTGCTGAACCCCCTCAAATCGAAGGCGGGAAGGAAGGAAGCCGTCAGCCGGGCTTTCAGGCTCGCGCGTCTTCGTTATTCATTTCTTCCGTCTCTCCCGTACTTTTGGTAGTAGGGCCAAACTTCTCATTTTCTCCCTTTGCATCACCCTTCAAGAGGCAACCAGGCTTCGGAGACCGAAGGTCAGC